AATGCATTACAAGCTGCTTAATTATGCTTATTTGCACTGATCCAGACAGTGGTATTTAATGCTCAGTGCCCTTTTCATGAACAAAATATCTATGACCGTGCTGTACACTAGAATCTCATACTTAATACAAAACCAGAAGATAGCAAAAGCAGCTTAAATCTTACGGACTTTGCTATCTTTTTTTTTTTCTATTGTAGTAAAATACTCATAACAAAATATACCATTGCTATCATTTTTATGTATATTAGTTTTGTGGTAGAAAAAATATCAGAGAACATCATGGAAGAGGGGTGGAAAGGTTGTAAGAGCCAGAGGACCAGGACACCTGCTGTGGGGTAGTGTCTTTTAGATGTGACAGGCATGCTGCACCTAGGAAATCTCAACAATATGGTTGCCTAAAGAAGACCTGAATAATGACCACACCAGTTAACATGCCATCAGACATATGGGAAAGTCTACAAGGACCCACCCCTAGACAAAGAACTACAGGTGATCAGCGGCTGCTGAGGGCGGGAGAGTCAGTTTTCTCCAGGGATGAGCTCCAGTAGGTTATCCAGCCCCAAGTGGTCAGTCCTAAACACATGTACATACAAGCAACACTAAATGGACTCAGGTTGTGTGTGTGTGTGTGTGTGTGTGTGTGTGTGTGTGTGTATTATATATACACATGAATGTATTATTATATGCATGTGTGTATGTATACACATTAATAAATACAAAAGAGGAGGTCAGGAATCCCAGATGCAGTGGAGGGATGGAGGAGGAATTGAAGCAGGGAGAGGGAGGGTGAGAATGGTATAAATTCAATGTACTCATATATGAAATGGTCAGAAAAAGACAAAAAAGAGTATCTACAATGTGTAGCCATTATCATCATCCATCTCCACAACATCTTCCTCTTTATGAAACAGAGTCTCCCTGTAGCCCCAAGCTGGCCTGGAACTTGCTATGTAGGCCAGGCTGGCCTCGATCTTACAGGGGTGTGCCTGCCTCTGCCACCAGAGTGCTGGGATCAAATCCATGCTTAGTTCTCAGGCTTCTTTTATTCAGTATAATGGCTTTGGCAGTTCACCTTTATTATCATAGCTCAGCACTTCCTTTTTATTGTTGAGTAATGTTCCATTATCAATTTCTTTATCCATTGTCTTCAGATGAATTGATTTTTTTCTTAGCACCTTCCTATAATAATAATTAGTAATT